CACCCTCACCACCATCATCATCATCATCATCATCATCATCATCATCATCATCATCATCATCATCACCATCACCATCACCATCACCATCACCATCACCATCACCATCATCATCATCACCATCATCATCATCATCATCATCATCATCATCATCATCATCATCATCATCACTATCATCAGCAACAGCAGCAACACCAATCATTTTTAGACTGCTCGCTCCTATCTGCTCGCGTACCATACAACACGTGTATCCCATACCCTCGGTTCCCGCCCTCTTCGTCTTCGATCGTACCCCCTTGGATATGTACCCTCCTTACCTGCCACGTTTATTTAGTGCAGCCCCTAAGGCAGGGGAAAAGGGGACGGATGGAAGGGGTAGGGAGATGGAGCACGAGAGTGCATTAGCAGGAGGGGGGCTAGGAGCAGAACACACGTGGCAGAACCAGACTGGCAGATCGGGCGGGCAGACCCCAGCGGGTGGGTCGGAAAGGCGGGCCCAGGCAGGAGTGTAGTTGAAGCGTGAGTGCTCCATGAATCGCGGGGATGTCTCAGGCGATAGTGCGAGTCCCAAGTAAATCGCTAGGACATCTAAAGCGAGAGCGCGATTCCTGATTGTGGAGGACGCGGGACGCGGCGTCTGAATAAACTGCTAAGAATTCCAACGCGAGAGCGCGAGTCCTGCATACATTGTGAGGAAGACCCGCGCGAGAGCGCGATTTTGGAATAAAGTGTGAGGAGGTATCAGGCGGGAGACATTTGTTGTTGTTGCTGCTGTTGTTGTAGTTCGGGGCCCAACAACGCAGTCTGAGCAGGAAGGCTTTTCTTTTATGAATAACAGGGTGCGAGCCCCGAGGGGGGCGCCTTAAATAAAAAAACATGATGTGCACAGGTGGGAGGGATCAACAATCATATTTCTTCAAGAATTAGAATTCAAAAACAACAGCATCAGCAGCAACAACATCAACAACAACAGCAACATCAAAAGCAACAACCACAACAACAGCAACAGCAGCAACAACAACACCATCAGTATCATCATCAGCAGCATCATCATCAACATCATCATTACCACCAGCATCAGCATCAGCATCAGCATCAGCACTTGACCCAGCCTCAGCATCAGCATCATCATCACCATCATCACCACCCTCGCCAAAATCATCTATATACATATGAATATGAGAATATATAAATATATGTGTGTCTTCTTCCTCATGCGCAACAGCATGCATCACGAAACATCGCGGCCCATTCCTCATGCGCAACAGCATGCATCACGAAACATCGCGGCCCAAGCCCTAGGCCCCATCTTCTCGAGCCGATGGCCCAGAGGCCCGAAATTTAGCGCAAAATCGCCAGGTCTGAAGAATCCGATGCCAGGATCTCAGAAATTCCTCCCCACGACGAGACCAGGCGAGGTTGGAGGAAGAAACAACTGCCTGACCATGATCTCTTGAAGGTCCGCGCGGATTGCTTCGATCGGCCCTTGACCCTCCTCCTTGGCGAGCGGAGCGCGCCAGGGGCGGCGTCGGAGGCGCCGCCAGGGGTGCCTCAGCGCCGATCTAAGAAATCCGCGCGGAGTTCCGGAAGCTTATGTATGTGCAGTCTTAAAAAAAGAAGTATGTATCGACCACTATTCCAGGCTTTGGGAGGTTTTCGAATGGACCTGAAATTTGGGGCCCAACCCTGGGATATACGATGGGGGGGCCTCCATCCTCGATAGGGGTTCGCCCGAATAGCCCTGTTGCTGTATCCCAAGGTTTCCCTCCTTTTCTGAGCGGCTTCTCTTTCGTCGGAAAGTCGGAGTACATCCAAGGGCATCAAACTTCGCAGGTAGCTTTTTCACCCCGAACCCCCGACATTGCCGCTTGTTTCTTCCACCTGCATAAACGCCCCCCCTCCCATCGTATATCCCAGGGTTGGGGGCCCAGACATGCGACGTCCTGATTTTTTCATCATGCCCAGGGTGGGGGCCCGGGGTTGGGGGCCCGTCATGCCCGGAAATCCCGACCCGTTCCCCGGGGCTGGTTTTTCATCCCGAATCGTTGTTTGACGGTCCCGGGGGCCAGCGAGGGCCCCCAGGGGCCGAAAACGGCTAAAACTCTCCCGCCCTGACTTTTTCACGACGCGACCGTGTCTGGGCATCCCAGGGCTGGGGGAGAAGCATCGCCTGCGCAGCTTCTTGCCCTTACAGGGTGTGCTGCACCCTGCCGCGCGCCTGCGTCTGCAGGGGCGGCGGGCCCTCCGGCGGCGCCGGCGCGTGCTCGGCGGCGCCGCCCTCCTCGGGCTCCTCCGCGCAAGGGAGGGGGGCCACGTCCGGTGATGGGCCGATGTTCCACCACCACTAAGGATGGGGCGGAGGAGGAGGAGCGCACGTGCAGTGGGGAGGAGGAGGAGGAGGAGGAGGAGGAGGAGGAGGAGGAGGAGGAGGAGGAGGAGGAGGAAGACGACGGCGGAGGAGGAGGAGGAGGAAGACGACGGCGGAGGAGGAGGAGGAGGAAGATAAGGCAGCTCTGGATAAGGAAAATCCATGGTCTGGAAGCCCGCGGAACTCCAATCGCGGAGCGGCCACGGGTCTCACCGCCGCCCTGATTGGGTGAGGCATCCTCCAGGGTCGGAAGCCTCCCTGGCACATTCCTTAACGAATGCCCCCACCGTGCCACATGTAGGAGATGGAGGAGGAAGAGGATGAGAAGGAGGAGGAGGAGAAGAACCTCCCCATCCTCCACTCTCTCCCGTCCTATGGTGGTGGTGGTGGTGGAAATAGGCCCATCAGTCCTGGGGGGGGGGGCCTGGCTGGGGAAGGGAAACGTCGAGCTGGACGCACATCCCGCTGGAAGCCCAGACCCCCTCGGGCAATGAAAAAATCATGACGGGAGGTGTTTGGCTATTTTCGGCCTCTAGGGGCCCTTACCAGCCCGCGGAACCGTCAGAGAACGACTCAGGATGAAAACCCAGTCTGGGGGAAGGGATCCAGACCTCCAAGGGTCGACGTTAAGAAAAAAATCATGACGTCGGGGGTCTGGGTTAGGGGCCTCCTGAGTATAGTCCTCGGAGGGGGGAATAAACGGCCGGAGGGGGAACCGGGCCCGGGAGGGGAAACACGAAACACATCGAGCTGGAAGCGGCGGTGTACAGTCAGACCCAGGACAGGAGAACACCCTTAGAGGAAGAAAGATCGGCATAAACATAAACAACAATTTACGTTGATGCCGTCTTTTGTGCTTCGAATCCTTCAAGGACGTGGGACCCTCCGCCGGCCAGACCTGAAGAACATTCGAGGGCCCCCCCCACCCCGCACAGGATGCACAATCGTGTCCAGCAGGCACGAAGAACACCAGGGTACACCCTCCCCGAACCGACTTCGATCCTATACCTCGGTCCGACTGTATCCAGAAGAACGAGGAAAACGGCATGAACATACACGTGCGACGCTCCGCGCGAACACGGCACAGACATACTGTACACTTTTTCGACGGCCCGCGCGGACTTCCTGGATCGGGGCCAGGCCCCGGGCCAGGGAGAGGGGGTGCCGTGGGTGCCGCACCACAGGTCCAAGAAATCTGTGCGGATCGTCGAAAGCGCATGCTCACGCAGCGCCGACAGATCGGCGATACTCGAGGCCTCCTAGATGGGGTCGGAGAATCGCGCCGCACCGCCGATGCATCGGCGATGCACTGGGCGATGAATCGTCGACGTCGGCGATGCATCGCCGACGTCGACGTGAAGCAAATCGGGCTCCACATCGTGACACGCATCGGCGAGGCATCGGCGATGCGGCGCGTCCCTCCGACCCCATCAAATTGATCCGACCCCATCCAGGAGGCTTAGAGATACGCCCCCGAGGCTAAAATCACGCGTTCCCGGGCGGGGACGACTTTCAAGAGTAGAAGAAAAAAACATAAACATCAACTTTTGGCGCCTCGCGCGGATTTCTTGGATCTGTGCTGAACCCCCCTCCCTGGCGCGCGGAGCGCGCCAAAGGCGGCGCTGGAGGCGCCGCCGGTGCGGCCCAGCGCGGATCCAAGATATCTGCGCAGAACACCAAACGTTTCTGTGTTTGCTGTTCTTTCTTTTTCGAAAGGCATTCCTGTAGGCCTGCCACGACATGTTCCTAGAACCCCAACATGCTCGAATAACAAAAACCATGTTCTTATCCCATTAAGCCAATGTGCTAACACAAGACAGTCCCAGCCAGAAGTGTCCGAAAAACACGTCACGCATACCACAGAAAGGTTATTGGCGCATTCTTTGGTGGGCCGATAGGCAAGCCAGGACGCTTCGCCACTGCTTGAATCAAGAGCCCCCTATCCTTCCTGGAGGGGGAGGAGGAGAAGGGAGAGGAGGAGGACCCAAGAGTCATCAACGAAGTTGGAGAAAACCCTCCCTCCAAGCTCTCTCTTCGCAGGCCCCTACAACTGTTCATTTCCATTGATGGAACTGCCTCGTTGGAAGACACTCGTTTAAAGACCGTGCTGCCTGCCAAAACATTGTTCTCGGGACTCCAACGCCACGGATCAACCTGACTGTTGTGCCTTGGCGATCCTGAATCATGCCAGACCGCCATTCCTAGGACTTCAACGCAAAGAATCAATGTAACTGTTGCACCCGCATAATCCTGAATCCTTCCAAAGCGCCATTGCTGGTACGTTGATGATGGGAATCCGTGAAACTCTTGGAAATGTTTGAAACGATTGTGCGCGGCGCTAAAGCGAGAACAACATTTTGAAAACCACTCGCCCTCAATCCGTGAAACTCTTGCACATGTTCAAAACGAATGTGCGCGGCGCTGAGGCGAGAACCACATGTTGAAAATAAACCGCATTCTATCCGTGAGACTCTTGTAAACTTCAAAACAAAAAAACACCGAATGTGCGCGGCGCTAAGGCGAGAACCACATTTTGAAAACGACCCGTCCTCAATCCGTGGAACCCTTGCGATTTTCTTCAAAACGAATGTGCGCCGCGCTAAGGTGAGAGCCACACGTTGAAAACAACCGCCCTCCATCTGTCAATATGTTGCCCATTTTCAAGCCTCAGAACCATAAATGGTACGGAGGTCTCAAGCGAAACGCCCGGCCCGCCTTAAAAACTGGCTCGGGGGTGCGACAGAGAGAACTAAACTTTCCATACATATATATATATATACATATATATATGTACAAGGAAATGACTAGGGGAAGGAGGAGGGGGAGGACGAAGAGGAGGAGAAGGAGGAGGAGGAGGAGGAGGAGGAGGAGGAGGAGGAGGAGGAGGAGGCCCCCCCTCCTTGGCGGTGGCGGCGCCGCCGCCGGCCGGCGCCCGGCGCGCAGGCCGCGGCGTGGGCGGCGCCCGCGCGGCGCCCGCGGGGGCCGCGGGCGGCACCTGTCGGAGCAGCGAAAGGGGGGAGACCACGGCACCGGGCCCCTGAGGAAAAGAGGAGAAGGAATGGGGGAGGAGGAGGAGGAGGAGGAGGAGGAGGAGGAGGAGGAGGAGGAGGAGGAGGAGGAGGAGGACGACGAAGAGGAGGAGGAGGAGGAGGACGACGAAGAGGAGGAGGAGGAGGACGACGACGAAGAGGAGGAGGAGCAGGAGGAGGAGCGCAAGGGGGAGACCACGGCCCCTCCAGATTAGGGCCCCTCCTGGGACGCACCGCGACATGCCCAGACCTCACCGACCGGGGCCCAAACGCAATCATTTCCGAGCTGCGTGCAGCCGTGGGTACGAAAAAAAAGGTACGATGCCAAACAACAAATGCTGTCCAAAACCGACAGCGGCCGCTGTTGGGCAGGCGGCCTTCCGCCTCAAATGGACAACGCCCGTGGCGGCGCGGATAGCGAGCCCTGTCCAAAACGAACAAGAACTGCTGTTGGGCAATGTGCCCCTCCTTTTCCGTAAACCATTCCGGTCGAGCCGAAACTATTCGTAGATCGGGCATCTGTCCCCCACGAAACATAAGACACAGCCAAGAAATGCTCAACACATACCCCAACATAGCCAAAACAATCGTCCCCAGACCATCCTGCTTGGCTGCTCTCGAATGCTCCTCCTGTAGAGGGACACGCCCGACTCGAAACTGCTTTCCCGGTGTCCTTGCCGTCGCTCGGACGTCCCTTTCCCCTGCACTTGTCGATTTCGTGCGTGTTTTTTTGGCTCGATGGTCCAGGATGGTCCTCGATGGCTCTCGCCGAGAAAACATGCACACGCCCGAGCGATGCCAAGCTGTCTCAACTCGCCGTCCCCGGCGCCCCCTCGGCGAGCGGGGCGCCCCCGCCGGCGGGCTTCGCCGCCGCTGCCGCCCGCGCCGCCGGCGCGGGCGCCTGCAGGCTGGCGCGTCTCGGCAGCCGCGGCGGCGCGCCCAGCGCGCGGCGCGGCTCCTGAAGGGACCCTGGGACACACACATAAACACTAACCAATTCAAGGAACCCCTATATTTTCCCATATGTTCTGGGTTTTCGTCTCTCCCCGCCCCCCCAACCCCTGTATTTACATATACTTTCTTGGGACTCGACGGTGAAATGTGTCTGTTGTGTGCTTTTCCCCCTCTGGCGCTCCGGCTCCGCCGCGGGCGCCGGCGCCGCGGGCTTCGCGGCGGGCGGGTGCTTGGCGCAGGGCCGCATGGGGCGGCCGCCGCCGCGGGGTCCCGGGCCCAGGGCTCCGACGAGGTGGCTTTTTAGTCTCGGGGATGGACAGACCCCCCTTTCGTAAAACGTGGACCTGAGGCCCAAACCTGGCGTGCACAGGCCTGGAAAAGAACGGCCACGGCGCCCTCTCGAGAACCGAAAACGGCCAATTCACTAATCGACGTGTCAGGGTAGTAGGTCTGTCCACCTCCGAGCGTTTAGTCCGATCCCGGCGTTTGCCCCCGATTGTCGGGCTCCGGTGCCGAACGGCCAGCGAGTATGCACCCAGAGATCCGACGTCGTGATTTTTTCAATGAGGGGTCCCCGGAAGTCTCGACCCATTCCCCAGGACCGGTTTTTCATCCTGAGTCGTTTTTTGACGGTCCCGGGGCCCGGCGAGGGCCGCTATAGGGGCCAAAAATCTATGAAAACCTCCGTCTTGATTTTTTCAATGCGTTGGAGGTCTGGGCACATGCACCGACTCTGGCCTGAGCCCAGGATCGGTGCACACGTCCTCCTGCCTTGGCCCGGCAAGCATCTGTGCATCGATCCGGGGCCCGGCAGGGGCCTGGCCAGAAGCGGCGCATCAGTGCATGCTTCCTCTCGCCCGAAGGGATCGGGGACGAAAATTACCAGCCTGGAACATATCCCTATCCCTATGCTGGGCACCTCCTCATCACGATGCCAAT